AGGCAGTGTTGTATTTAGTATTAAGCTTGTGGTTTGTTATATCTAAAAATTAGTTAGTTATTTAGTTATTAGTAGTAAAGTATATATTAGTTGTTTGTTTTTCTTTCTTCCGATTTTTGTTTTTAGTAATCGTCAGAAAGAGTTTGATAATCAATTAATAAGTTTAAGTGTTATAAGATGTAAAAGAGTTATGTAAAACATAGTGCTACAAATTGTATATATTGAAAGCATAATCGCTCGTAATAAAAAAAACTCTTGGTAGTTTCGCTCATTAAATAAATTGAAATCTTTATTAAAATAATTATTCATTTCCAATACATAATCCCTGAATACATAATAATTTTGCTAAACCTACTCCTCCATAACTCCGCTTTCGTTAAATTGATACACAGTATGTTTACTGTTGTCTTGTCTATGTAATATCCCCCTTGCAACTTGTCTGGTTATTCTTGACGTACTAAGACTAACCGTGGTCTTTCTGTTTAACTGACCTAATGTACTGTGGTTGGTTGTGGTTATTTTTTTTTTATTTGGTTCCAGTTACCCAATGGACTGTGGTAACTGTGGTTTCATATATCTGAATACTTGACGAACTATGGTATTCAAGCTTACAAGTTAAAACCTTCAGCAATCACTTACCCACGAGCTCTAACTACCATTCAAATCTAACCGCCCTCTTTCGATAAGCCATTCGTGGGTTGTGTAGAGTTTTCCTTAGCTGAGTGACTGACTTGCTATATAAATCTCTCATTTCACTATACAATTCTCAGCATTTGATTGGTCTGCATAACTATGTTCGTTACATATTATTATGCATTGTATATTTTTCACATGCCATTTTTCTCATCTTATATATGTGCGATAACTTGACTACATATCAGATAATTTTGCTAGAAAATCACATAATGTTCGATTAAATCTTTCTACTAGTCTATTTGTTCGAAGGTAATATGAGGTAGATAATAAATGTTTAATTTCAAATTTCTGAACAAGAGCTTTGACTAATTCATTATTAAAATGAGTTCCTCTATCAGATAATAAATATGAAGGACATCCATGTCAACAGATTATATCTTCATGAATAAAATCTATTGTATTTTTAGCATCAGCTTTAGGTACAGCTTCAGCTTCAGGCCATTTAGTCATATAGTCAGTAGCAACTATAATATATTTGTTTTGTTGTGTAGTAATTGGTAGTGGTTCAACAAAATTTATACCAATTCGATGAAAAGGTGCTTCTACAGGAATTGGTTGAAGAGGTCCAGATATTCAATATTTTCCTCACTTTTGACAAGTATCACATGTTTAAACATAATTTTTGATATGTTAATACATTTGTAGCCAAAAGTATTTATCTCTAATTTTCTCAAACATTTTATCTATCCCAAGATGTGCTCCAATAGAGTAATTATGCATTAAGTAGAGAATTGGTTCTATTTCATGCTTTTGAATCACTTTTAGTTCTTGATGAGTTTTCTGTTTTCTTCGGTCTTGTTTATAAAGTTGATTATTCTTGATTATATAGAATTTGCTTTGAGATTCTAATTGTTTCTTTTGGTTTCTTGAAAAATCAATAGAAAAATTTGCTGTTTCCAAAAAATATTTAAGATTGTGGTAGGTAATTATATTCATTTTGAAGTATTTGCTAGGATACTGACAACCTAGACAGAATTTTTTTTTATGTCAGCTTTAGAGAGTAAAATAAAATAAGATAATAAGTTGAATAGAGCTCTAGCCTCGTTCTATATTGTCCTAGACAACCAATAATTCTAGGCTTAGGAGAAGACTAAGCTAATAATATAATGTTCTATAACTAATATGAATATGTATATATATATATGTATTTTTTTTTTTTTTTTTTTTTTTTTTTTTTTATATTAATAGATGTGTTAATTAAATAAATATAAAATATAGATTAAACTAAATATAAATTTGAATTAATATTCATAACAACTTTCTACCAAACTGTATTACAAAGATAATGTTCTGAATAATTATTAAATTCAAGAAGATGTTCTAGTAAAGGTGTTTGTAAAGGTAGTAACCACCAGGAATGTGTTGACCAATGTTGTTCCAAACTTATTTTTTCTATATCTGAATAATAGTCAATATTCATACTAAAGTATCAATTTCTTTATTAGTATCATAATCACTAAGAAGATATTTATTAATTGGTGTTTCATTAAAAGGAATTTCAACAAAAGTATCATTGATAAGATTCATTTCAAAGGGTGTTTCAAGTTTAGTATTTTCTTCATTATCAGAAGCAGGAGTTGGCTAATAACTTTTAGCAATTTCTTCTAAAGAATATTGCTGAATAGTAAGCTATAATCGTAGGTCAATTCGGCATTTAATACATTCATCACTGGGTGAGTATAATTTATTACCATACCAACATTGTGCAGCAGGTCCTTTCCAATCCCTTAGCCAAGCATATTTTTCAAAAGTTTGTTTTAACTGAAGACTAATATGCTCAATATAATACCAGGTACAGTACATTCCATTATAATGAATTCTATTTGAGGTAAACTCTATGTCTTGATATGAAGTTAAACTATAATTTTTATATAAGATTGGTTTAAGAGTTGTTATCATGTCTTGGTAATGATTAGGGTTCATTAGGGTTAGAGAGTTTGCAGCAGTTTCATTATCAATAGCCATCATGAAAACTTCTTCTTCATAATTTTCAAAAGTTTCATAATACTGAGAAGGTAAGTTTTCTAGACAACATACAAGTAATTTTTGTAAAGATACTTGTTTTAATGTAATCTATGCTTTACAATCAGCTTCATATTGATAACATTGCTACTTTGTCTAAGTAAGATATTCCAATACCAGCATTGAATATTAGGGCCTTTCCAACTTAAAGGTCTAGTTGCTTTTTCTTGAGTTTTTTTGAACTTCTCATTTAAGAAGTAAATATAAGTCTAGTCAGATTCTGCTTCATTATCAAATCTAAATCTAGTTTTTGATACTTCTATTTTATAATGAGGTTGAGTATCATATAAAGCTTAAGGAGGTAATTGTAGTTTAAGAATATTAGATAATTGTTCTACTCTTTGATTTCTATATAAAGAAATCTCTAAATTTCTTTGAATAGCAGCTTATAAGGCTTTTTCTTCTGATAGTAATTCCTCATCATCAACAGATAACATATTAATAGGTTTTTCATACATTCTTGATAATGTATTAGCATTACTATGTTTTCTTCTAGCATGATGAATTATTATAAAATTATAAGATTCTAATCTCATAATCTATCTTGCTCTTTTCCCTTTCAATTTAGTTGTCTTAACCATTTTAAAGTAGCATGGTCAGTAACAAGAAAGAATGGTTTAGCTTCAAGATATTGATAAAAATGTTCAATTGCCCAAATTACAGCTAGGTATTCTAATTCAGTAGTAGAATAATTTTGTTCAGCATTATTCAGACTTTTACTAGCATAAGCAATAGCATATTCCTTGTTATCGTCATCTAATTGTGATAGAACAGCTCCTAATCCTGAAGTTGAAGTATCAGTATGTAAATAGAAAGGTCTATTAAAATCAGGATATTGTAAGATAGGATTAGTTATAAGATAATTCTTTAGGGTATTAAACACTTGTTCATGTTGTTTTGTTCAAATATATAGTTCATCTTTCTTTAACAGTTGGTTTAAAGGTTTAGCAATTTTAGAAAATTCTTGAATAAATCATTGATAATAGGAGGCAATTCCTAGAAATCCTCTTAATTGTCTAAGGTTTGTTGGTACTGGAAAGTTTTTAATCTTTTTTACTAATCTTTTATCAGTTCTAATTCCATCTTTTCCTACTATGTATCCTAGGAATTTAATGTTATTTAAAAAGAAATAACATTTTGCCAGATTTAATTTAAGGTTGGCTTCTTGAAGAATAATAAATATTTGTTATACATGCTCAAGATGTTGTTCGAAGGTTGGTGAATATATAGTTATATCATCTAAATATACAACTACAAATTTGTTGATATATGGGTGAAGAATTCGATCTATTAAATGTTAAAAAGTAGCAGGAGTATTTGTAAGTTCAAAAGGCATAACATTAAATTCATATGTTTCAAATTTAGTAACAAATGCAGTTTTCTTTTTATCTTCTTCTTTTACAGCAACCTGCTAATATCCACTAGCCAAGTCTAAGCTAGTAAACCAAGAAGCTCTATTAAATGAACTTAAAACTTCTTAAATTGTAGGTAAAGGATAAACATCTTTTTCTGTAACAGTGTTAAGCTTTCTATAATTAATACAAAGTCTTTTTCTACTATCTTTTTTTGGCACAATTACTACTGAAGAAGACCAGAGTCCATAGGATTCCCTAATAATTCCTTTTTCTTCTATTTTCTTAATTTCTTTTTGAAGAAATTCTTGCTCGTCAGGAGGGTATTGATATGCTCATTGTTTAATAGGTCTAGCTTTATCTGTATTTATCTCATGACAGATAATATTTGTTTGTCCTAATTGTTTAAATTGTTCTTCTTTTAAGATATTTTCTGAGAAAATATCAATATTGTTTGTTAAGAATTGACTTGCTTGTTCTTGTTGCTCTTTAGTAAGTTCTTCATTTATATTAAATTTAGAATCATCTATGGTATAAATCTTTTCTTCTAACATCTGCATTAGATAAAAAGCAGGTATAGCTTCACTATTAATCTAGGGATTATAGAATAATTCATTTACAACAGGAGGCTATTTCTCAATGTAATAGGTTTCAAATTCATCATCATCAATTTCATCAATCCATTGATCATCATCATCTTCATTATCAATTTCTTAGTAAATAGGATTTAAACTACTAGTATGAGTAGCATTAATAGTAGCTCTTTTGCCTAAATATCATACAGTTAAAGTATTATTTTCAAAATCTAATTTAGCTCTAGATTTATTAAACCAGTCTGTTCCTAGAAGAAGAGTTTTATCCATTGACTTGATAACTTGTAAGTCAACAAGAATTATAATATCTTGAATAGTAACTTTTACATTAGAAATTACTCCTAATACTTTAGTATGTTCACCATTAGCAGTTACAACTATAGTTCTTGAAAATCCTTGGATATTGAGTTCTAGTTTCTTCATTAGCCTTGCTATAATAATACTAACAGCAGCTCCAGAGTCAAGAATAGCTTGAACAGGATTTTCTTTAATTCTAATATGACATCTCATTGCTGTAGTTTTCTTGAATTTTTCTGATTCAATAAGGTTTGCTTCTGTTAAAGGTTCCTTCTTTTTTTGAATAATTTTAGCAAGGTTTCTTCGTTGATTAGGGTATTGTAATAGTTGTGCTAGGGTAGCTGAGAATTTCATATTTAAAATATCAACAGAAATATTGAATAGTTCAATTTTATCAATTACAGATAGTTGAGTTTTATATTTAGTTCTTGGTCGATTTACTTTTGTAGTTGGTATTTCTTCAGATATTTTATTAGGTACATCTTCTATAGTAGTATCTTCTTCTATTTGAATAGGAGTTATCTTTCTGTTATGTAGATTAAATTCTTTCTAAGATTCAGAATTTTTTGTAACATATTTAGCTTTCTTTCTATCAGTAGTATATTGAGTAGACTTTTGATTTTTAGCGATGTAAATTTCTTCTTCATAATTTTCACTATTATCATCTGCTTCTAAGAAGTTTATATTTCTATTTCTGATTATATCTTTCTTTAATTATTTGTATTGTTCAGTAGTAGTTTGACGTTCAGCCATACAGTTTCTGGCTATATAGCCTGCTTCACTACAGTTATAACAAATAATTTTTGGTCAAGATTAAATTCTATTTGGTTGGTTTCATTGATAATTAATTGGTCTTGGTTTGGGTTTTTCATGAGGTTCAGTAAGAGCAGATGCAATAGTTGCATAGTTTAAGCTCATTTGTTTCATTTGCTGAGTTAATACTTCAATATCCTTTTTTAATTTGTGAGTATTATTGCTTAAGAATGAGATTGGTTCTATCTGTTGAGCAAAGTCTTTTCCTTGTTCATATTGTTGAACTAATTGTTGAGTATTATTTAGATTTCCAGGATTATGCAACATGATTTTAGGTAATAGTTCAGGTTTTACACTTTTTTTAAAGTAATATAACTGTTAAGCAGTATCAGTGATATTACATCTTTTGATTAATTTATTGAATCTACTATAATATGATTCTATTGCTTTATCTGTTCCTTGTTTAATAGCTTCTAGTTTACGTAGCTATTTATTTTTCTATTATTGAGTATAAAAGTTAAGTTTAAAATTATCTGTGATAGTGGTTCAAAGATTACTCCAATTTGGTGTTCCTGCTGTATTTTGAGTTGCATAGAAGGTTGTTTGCTATTCATCACAACTCCATATAAGAAACCAGGAAGAATATCTCTTTTTCTTTTACTATCCTATCTATTAGCAGTAGCAGCTTTATCAAAGCATTCTATCCAAGTATATAGATCCTGAGTACCATCACTAGTAAATAGCTCTACTTTAAGCAGAAGAGATCCACTGATATTTGCTTTAAGGTAGTTCATGATATCATCAGTTGTTGCAGCCATTGTTAGGTTTATAAATAAAAGGGGATTATTTAAGGGTAGTGGGTATAGAGTTGTCGATAAGGAAGTATTAAATAATAAATCAGGAGTAGCTATCTGATTGTTATAAAATAGTAATTCTACTAGAGGGTTTAATTAGATATAAGCATTTGGGATTTGTTGTATTCTTTCTATTAGTTGATCAAGAGGTTCAGTGTTATCTAGTTCTTCTTTAGATAAAAGAAGTGGATTTTTCTCAAAACAATCAGTATATAATAATAATACTGCAATTCCTCCAATTATTTTACAGATATCACCAGATGAGTTGTTGTATCTAATACTATATATTATCTTGAAAATAAGATTTTTGTGTTAAGATAATTCAAATTGTAAATAAATATTCCTAAAATTATTAAAATATTCTAATGTTTTGCAGTAAAGTTTATTGCAGGGTATTGTTTACTATACCAAGTAATAAAATTATGAAAAGAAGTAAATAATATAGGAGTTAAAATAGGGTAACAGATATCACAAAAATCATCTGGTTCAATAAGTAGATTCAAGGTATGTTGTTTTTGATATCTAATTATGTTTGTTAAATGCTTTGTAAAATCAAAAATCATTAAAAATTAAAACTTAAATATTCTAAATCAGAGAAATAAATTATAAAAAAGGAGGGTTCCTTATGCCTATACTTTAGCTTGTGGGGAACAATTAAAAGAATAAGAGAGAAAGACTTTTACAAGTCAATAGTAGCTTCAACTTGTTTAAGTTGAGCAAAATAAAGATCAGCAAGCTTTAAATCTTTTATAGTAAAGATGAAAAAACTGTCTGTTTGTTTAGTTGAATCAATTAATTTATTAATTTCTTTCTCAAGGTAGTCTTTGTAAGAAGGTGCCTTCAATACGTGAGTGTTCTCAATATGTTGTAGTGTTTGTGAAGTTGCAATTCCTTGTCTAGTTATAGATATCACTCTCAATAACTATACAAATTTTTAATTTTTGAAAAAGTATCATTTTAGAGTGTTTGATACTATGCTATTGTTTGTTTTCACTTAGAAAAGAATTGTTCTATGGTTCTTTGCAGTTCTAATGGTGGTCAAAAATCTAAATTCGGTTAGATATTCACTGAGATATTAGTGTCCAAAGTTTGTGTAACCAATATCATTGAGTTTCTTGGAGAAGCTTTCTCTAACTTTCTTTATAGATCAAAATCACTAAAATTATTTTGAAACGCGAATAGCGGGTTTCAGAAGGATTTCTACTAAGGTAATGCTTAGTACAAAAGATGCGATAGGTTTTCAGGAATATACAGTAAAAATTTCAGGTAGATTGGTTTAAAACTGATTGACTTTTCTTAGTAGTGAGTAACTTTAATTTTCTTTAGTAAAGGAGAACTTTATCTCACAGTCACTACCAAATTGTTAAACGGGGAATTCACCTCTTCTAGAGTTCCCAGAGACTGCTGATTATAGTATGAAGACTATAACTTTACAGCTTGTTATATG